AACATGTACCCGCTGGCCTTGCAGAGAAATGTTTTACTGACAGCAAAACCGTCGCACGCTTTCATCTCTACAGGTCCGCAAATCTATGGCTCGCATCAAGTTCGTTCTCAACGAGCGTCGTCTTGCCTTGATCGAGGCTCAGAAGCAAGTTCGAGAGGCTGTTCCGGCGCCCGAGCCTGGTCAGGGTGGAAGTCTGTTCGAGGAAGCCGCTTTCGAAGAGACCGCCCAGCCTTCTTCGTCTGAGACAACACCGACGCAGCAAGCATAAGCTACATTCTGTTCTCGACAAAAATAGCCCACACTGCCATGCAGTCGCAAGCAAATCATTCTTCTTCCCATTCATCAGCATGTAACAGTATCGCTCAATCCAATTCATCGCATCATTCATACATCTGATTTTATCGCCTGGAGATAGATGCTCTTGTGCTCAAATGACGTGTGCAACGAAACATACGGACGAGGTATCCGAGCATTGTCGACAGAGACGTACCGGGTCATGCACCGTGGTAGCGCAATTCCTTAAGGCCCTGCAAGGTCCGCGTGCGTATTCAGCAACTCGCCCTTTGTCTCTCAGCCGCAATCTCAAACTATGATATCACAACGGGCACACATACTGATCGCACCAGATAGGAACAGCATAACATGTCTGATAAGCGACACCACCTTCTTTCGATATTTCGGGTGTGTGTGTGTGTGTGTGAAGATTCTCTTTGGGGGGTTGATAAAGAGAAAAGAAACGTGTTGATGGTACAATTGCAATGTAATGACGTGGGGGGGGAACATGCCGATGCAGTGTGCATTTTTGGTAGGAGCTGGAGGTATCGAAGGTTGTCACACTCGTATCGACGCTGTGAAGAAGCCGACTTCGAAAGAAGGGGCGAAAGCTCGTCGGCCATGCGACGTACGAATGCAACAACTCGAATCCAGTTCCATGGTGTGAAGTGACTGCTGCAGGCCAAAGTCGGAACGCGTGGGTGCTCGGAAATATAGGAGAAGTGCAGGAAGAAACCAGTTTACTTCTTCTTGGAAGCCTCACCAGCCTTGGTCTTCTTGGTACCACGGACCTTCTTGGCACGGTTCTTGCGTTCCTTGCGGAGCTTGCGCGAAGCCTTCTCAGTCTTCTCGGCAAGTCCAATCTGTGGGTGATGAATGCAAATAGGATCAGGGAGATGCGAATGTCAGAATGACTGTTGCGGGATGACTGTACTGGATCTGTAGGATGGCTCTCGACAGCATCACTCATCTTCGCTGATGACAATGTTTCGAGATGACTGCCTGATATGCGCTTGCGTTGCGAGATACTTACGCGGACGAGGCGGTGCTTGGGCTCGAACTTCATCGACTCACGCGAGTCGTAGATGAGAGCGAAACCGGTGGAGCGTCCACCACCGAAAGCGGTTCGCATACCGAAAACAACGCATTGCTCCTTGGGGGTCTTGTACATCTCGGAGAGCTTCTCAGAGAGCTCAGCCTTGGAGACGTTGGGACGAGCAGGGTGGATGACATCGAGAACCATCTGCTTCCTCTGGAGCAGACGGTTGGTGATGAACTTGCGAGTTCGGAGGGTGACGGGAGAAGTGGAGTCCTGTGAGGTCATGATAAACGACGGCGGCGATGATATACGCAACGTAGTAAAGAAGGTTAGTTGAATGTGTGCTGGACGAGATATTGAGGAAGAACCGATGACCGAATCAAGGTCGAGTCCGACGCTACTGCAGGTGAGTTTTGGTCGAGAAAAGAGTCGTAGAACGAGGTGAAAGATGGGCAATGCGTGCATCCGAGAAAGCCAGAAGAACCGCTGAGAAGTCTGAGCGCGAGCGAAATTTGCGTTATCCACCGGATCCGAGCTGAGACACTCGTCCACTTGGGCCTGTCCTCGCCCAACCCAACTCATCAACCGCCATATCTGTGGTCGGCCTCGACAACATGACCGCTGCCAAAGGCTGTCGACGCTTACGAAGAGCTTTATTGCGTGTCCAGTTTGATCCCGGTCCTACGTGAACACTATCTCATATATCCAAGATGATGCCCTAACATCATAGATAACCGACGTTGACCACTTTTGCTGTCCTTCTCTCGAAACATCAAGATTGCGTCGAGGTGCTCACGATCTCGATGAAGATCATCAAGTCAACATTGAGCTAGATGCTGGCGTCTTCGTCGTTGTTTGCATATGTGCCTGTGTGCCAGTCGAATCTTCCCCAGCGCACATCGAGAACTCTGTATCATCAATGTTATAATGCCGTCGCGAGTCTGCTAATGCTGATTCTCCATCGTCGAGGCTATGGACTAATTGTCGCTACTGTAGACAGTGGTGGAACTTCTGTATCATAGGTCGCCACAGTGAATGACGGGTTGCTGTACGGATTTGCTCCGTCTGTTGTCGATGCTAATCATTGCAGATGGCGAGTTTGCGATGTGATGTATTTTGTCGTAATGCGGTGCAGCAGCGTCGAATGTTGTCGATGATTCGGCAAAGATCGGTTCCATCAATGGCAAGGGCATACTCACCATCTTGACGAATTCTTGGTGGTAGCGAAGAGTAGCAAAGGATGGTGTCGAGCTCAACCTAGCAGCAATTCACACACTCATACACACACTCCGCGCCGTCTCGCACCACAGACAGGCAGGCACACACGCTCTCCAGCCTCACAAACACGTTTGGCCTCGAAATGAGACTTGGCTGCCATCTCGTATTCTTGCCTGGCTGCTTGCCGCCTCTTACTCTCGAACCTCCAATTCTTCGAAATCTCACCCTTTCAGGGCGTCACATCGCGCTGTCGTGCCTCGCAGACTTGAAACGAGTCGACCTTCCAAGTAAGCACACAGGAGCAATACAAATTTGAATTCTGAGCATTCGTAGTCGAGCCTCAAAGGCAGAAGAATTCGGTGTTTTTAACCGCCAAAATCTTGTTCAGCGTGGGAATTTTTGCAGTTTTGGCTTCAAACGCGCAGAACGCCCTTGGACTTGGAAAGGATCGATCGGGCAGCAAAGTTGTCCAAAAGTTCACGACCGATTGGCTTGATTCGTTCTGCCCCTCGGAATTCGGTGATCAGCCAATGCCTGCGCAATCCGACAGCTTCCTTGCGCTTGGACCCTGTTGGAAGTAGGACAAGAGACACACATACATCCCTTGTTGAGTCATGTGCCGGTCTTGAACGATGAGCGGGGCTCTTGCTGGCCTGTCACAGTATGCGAAATCCGACTCGGATGCTGAATCGGCTTCTGATGGCGACGAGGTCAAGGTCAAGTCAAAGTTGAGCCGACCTGAAGCCCTAGCTCCTCTCAAAATCACAAAGATAGGTCCAACTGCAAGTACATCCCCAGCCGATCTTCCTCTCAAACGAGTAACAAAAAGGTGAGCATGATGATATTGTGTACGTGCGTCTGCGGTTTAGGAGCGTCTGCTGACTCTGCTGTGCTGTAAGCGTTTGGGAAACAGGAAACTGCCGCCCCTCGAGGCGGACAGCTTGCAACGACAGGATGACGATTCACCCAGCGACTTGACCCCGGCGCCAGCCAGCAACAGCTCAAAGAAGGTCGCACGCGGAGATTGGCTGTGCTACTGCTTTGTGGATGGTAAGTGGAGCCTGCTAGGCTTTGGAAGCAATCAAAGACTGCGTTCTGACCTGGGATGCGCGCCCATCCAGTACCTTTGGACCCCTCTTCGAGCGCCTTGATACGAGACTGCCACAAACACCTTCAAGAGCAGCTCGGAACAAGTCACACTTTGCTGGATCTAATACATTCAGACGCCAGTCCTGGAGCCGATCCCGCGGAAGAAGCAGGACATTTGCACGTCTCTCTCACACGTCCGTTCACGGTACGAAGCTCCGAACGGGACGAGTACGCTAAGATTGCCAAGGCAGAGTTGCAAAGGCTCAAGGAAACGATAGGCAGGTGAGTTTCGTCTTGTGTATACGTATCGTGGGGAAAGTATGAAGAGCGTTCCAACTGATTGATACGCTCTTGGATGCATCTGTGCGGAATAGCTTTCCTTTCTCCTTCTCAAGGATCGCCTATTTGAACAACGACGATGCTTCGAGACACTTCATGGTGCTTGAGGTTGGCTCGGGGCGCGATCAGGTATGTACATACGATGCAGCTGTAGGCTGTCGAGCCTAGCAACAGCTTCGAATGATCTCTGTGAATGTAGCCCTTGACTGACAGAGCTCCGGTTTCTCCCACCTTTGTTGACAGTTCCACAAACTGTCAACAGCGCTGAGTAAAGTGCTCCATAGAGCCTTCCGCGCCAAAGCGTACTACGAAGAAGCTCGCTTTCACGCAAGCACATCATGTCTGGAGACCACGAAGGCCTTGGATGATGATGCCGAACCGCCAGAACTGAGAGAAGCAGGAGAAGCGCTCGGTCCTCGCTTCAGTGACATCGTCAACGACATCGAGAAAAAGTGGGGTCCACAACTGCGCAAACATCCCCCCACCTGGGCCGCGCGTGTCGGCATTCAAGTCGCTAACAGGATCACCTATGTAGATCTCTGACCTCTCATTCCCTTCGGTAAAGGTGTCCGTAGCAATGCACAATGTCTTTGGTGAAGTGCGCCACACAAGGTGAGCCGGTCGGATCTGTCACGCGTACAAGTGAAAGTTTGTGACCTCTAGTTCGATCTCATATCGCCGCCATCTTCGCTCACTCGGATCCGCAGCATGTTGTCCCAGGTCAGTTATCGTGACAAGCATCCGCAGACCGGCTATCCGACACCCGGCGAGGAGAAGATAGTTGCCCCGTCATGTTTCAACACCCTCTATGGGCAGCACGTCTCAGTATCGTATGTACACGCATACACAGAGTGCTGGGAGACACACATATATACTATTCATCGTCTTGTACTTAGTTCTTACATACTATCGCAATCGCAACTTGTCTCGCTATTTGCTGCACGTCCAACAACAGTACATCTTAGAAATTCTTCGAAGACCATGAAACCATATTATACTACAGTATATATATGCCCAACCTGTAACTTGAGCATCAACCCGGTCCGAATTAGTTTAGTGGCTATGACGGCGCCTTGTCAGTTAATGAGCAGCGTTCTCCGCGCAGAAAACGGCGCAGACCCGGGTTCAATTCCCGGATTCGGAGTATCAGATTTTTTAATACATTTTTTTCTTTTTTTTTTCTTCCTCCTTACATCCTTTTTTATCATCGTTGCAATCGTCGTGGACTCAAAGGAAGGATGAGTTAGGGTCATGTGACCCTATTCGGACAGTTGCACGAGTTCTCGGATGAGCTTGCGCCGGAAGGTCAAGAGATGCGCGAGAGAGATTACTAACGATGGTATTGGGGAAGCAATGGTATGCACTACAAAGCACTACAAAGATTATGCGAGAAAGGATAGTGATAGATAGCTGAATGGAATGATTGTGTGCCGAAAATGGGTTAGAGTTGACAAGTGCGCTGCCGTCAAGCTCTCCTGTGCATTCAAACCTGCGACAACGGCCCAGAAGGGCGCGTTTGCGCGTACATCATCTGCGTGGCCTTGCCATCGATGGCAGGTGCATCGATGGAAGCTGCGATCGATGAGAAGGGCGGCAGTGTAGTGCCATGGCCAATGTTGCCAGAAGGCACATGGAAGATAGGGTTGATATGATGCTGGTGCGCGTGTTGCTGAGCATGACCAGCGTTGGGGTGGAAGCCTGGAGGGACCGATCCGTCGCCTCGATCAGGCGCGCCGCCTTGATGCAGACTTTGGTGCAGCGGTGGGAGCTGGTAATTAGGGTGATAGCCAGTCGATGGCGTTACAGGCCCACCGTGCGAGTACGGGTGGAAGCGTGGGATACCACTAGCGTGGTGCAAAGGCGAAGCTGAACCTTGTCGATGTGCCGAAGCAGACGAGGCACGGCTGTTGGCACGGCTCTGGCGACTCAGTGACTGACGGGCACCAACAAGATGAGCTGGACTTGGCGAGACATTGCCAGGCGTGCGTGTCCTTGCTTCTGCAGCCGTCATGTTCTCCATGTTGGTGATGAGCTGATGGTCCAAAGAACTGATGGAACGTGTCTCTTGGGAGCTGCGATGCGACTCGAGCGATGGAGCAACGCGGCGCTGGTCCAACAGAGACGGAGCTGAAGCTAGGGAAGAGGACGAGCTGGCCCGCTGAATGTGGTGTCCTTGCGGCAGGTGTTGACCTGATCCTGTACCTGGCCCGGGATCACTGTCACCCGTCTGGTAGGATTGCATCGAGGCCCTGCGAGGATCGATCGCATCCTCGAAACTTGACATTGAGTGATCGTCGTCATGCTCGCGCCTACGTGCCTTGTTGCTGCGAGTGTATCCACGAGCTCCGACACCTCGCCACGCCATAGGACCCGTGATGGCTGCGTTGGCAGCCATGCCGTAGTCTGGGCCCAAAGCGTGAATAGGTTGCTGAAGAGGTGATCTCGGGAATTCGCCCGAGGGGAAGCTGGGCATGGAAGGCGACAGCTGCGAGCCGGGCCCTGCAGGTTGTTTGCCTCTCGCCTTTTCACTGGGTCCATTTCGGTAGGGCTCCTCTGCTTGGATCGTGCCTGCAAGCCACTCGACTGGATCCTTGCTGTTGGAAGAAGCCAGAAGCTGGTTACGCTTCTGCATGACCGCACGTGCGCGATCACGAGCGGCCTTTTGTTGCGCCTCACGCCTTGCCTTTTCAGCTTCTCTCGCCGCTTTCTCGGCTTCCTTCTTGGCCTTCTTCGGGTCGAGCTGCTTGACTGGCGCGCTGTTGGGCTGACCAGGAGTGTTGGCATGCTCAGCAGCGATTCTCTGAGCGGGAGTTGGCTCCATAGAGGTCCGCAGCTCTTGCGTAGATCCATTCGCGGCTATGCCGTTGGGCGGCATACGGGCAGCGGCGGCGTTTCCGACGGCGTAATGATGTGTTGCGCTGGTTCCTGCGCCACCAGCACCTCCGCCGCTGCCACTGCTGCCGCTACCACCAAAGACGGAAGAAATGTTGAGACCCCATGCCTTGCTTCTTCGTCGCTCCTTGTCGCGCGAGCCAATGGTCTCGTTGCTGGCGTTTGAGTCATTCTTCTGCGAGAGATCGCCAGATGAACCGGCGCCAGGGTAGGGAGCACCATATGGCACGAAAACGTCAGAACGAGCAGCTTGTTCGCGGTCGTACGCTGCTGCGGCGGCGGCCTGATCTTCATACCCGCCCCTTTGCACTTGACCTGCCTCTTGTCGATACTGGCACTGATACTGCTCGTACTGATGCGCTTGCAAAGCTTGACCATGACGATAGTCGGTGTGTTTAAGCGTGGCTTCGGTTGGCTGGACGTCGGAGGGCACCATAGATGCATTGCCGAGGACCACAGTGGCGTCGGATGATGGTGCACCAGAAGAGGGCCCATCGTGGTGAGCGGAGCTGCTTTGCGCGTAGACGGAGGCAGAATCGGGGAAAGCGGGGTACCCTGAGAGAGACACTTGGCGGTTCATCGAGGACACCGGAGGAGACCAGTGCACTTCGGCTCCATCCACTTGCATAGGAGATGCGGTTGAACCGTGCATGTTTGCGGCAGCGGGGCTGTTAGTGGCATTGCCAGAGGCGTTGGTGTGAACACGGCTGCCGTTGACCATGACCACTGCTGAGCCATCGGGTTGACGCAGCATTGCGAGCGGTCTGAGGTTGGAGTCGGCAGCTCCGAACGGCGGCTTGGCATGCGGTGAGAGCGGACCAGAGTGGGATGGAGGGATTGGTCGTGAAGCGCCGTTGTTCGGAGCAAAAGCGCCTTGTGGACGTCTTGAGGAGGTTGCACTGACAATAGGCCGCGCTTGTGGCGGTCGGAGTCGCGGCGCTTCATTCTTCATGTATTCGTGCTCGACGCAGTCTCTGCTAGTGAGTCGAGCCTTGGGATCATAGCGGAGCAAGTCCTCGATGCAATCGATAAGACTCTGTGGGACGCGATCCGAAAAGAGACGAGAGAACTTGACGGGCTTGCAGATGGGGAACTGGAAGCCGACGGCCCTCGCCATGCGGATTCCTTTGTCCCAGGGTCCACCACCGTTGCGTCTGGAGCGCGAGTCATGGCCGTAGCTGTGACTCGGATCGCCGAGAATCTCGCAGATCTGAAGTACTTGGTCGACTTCAGTGTGACCCGGGAAGAGCGGCTTAAGATTGACGAGCTCGGCGAGGATGGTACCTAATGCCCACATGTCGACGGGATTGCTGTAGTCGCGGGATCGCAAAAGAACTTCGGGAGCACGGTACCAACGGGTTGATACGTATTCGGTATAGGGAGGCTTGCTCAGAGTCTCGCGAGCCAGACCGAAGTCGGCCAACTTGACAATGACGAGGACATCCTTGTCTGGCGGTGCACCTGGTTGAATGTTGGGATAGTCGGCGAGTCCAGTGGTGGTGATGAGCAAGTTCTCTGGCTTCATGTCACGGTGAAAGTAGCCATGCTTGTGTATGTGTTCGAGACCGAGGACGATCTGTTCGTAGATGGAGGCTACCAATCCAGCGGCGAGTGGACGACCCTTTCTGGACTTTGTGAGCTGGTAGAGGTTGCCTTCCATGCACTCAAAGACGAAGTGAAGCTCCTTGGTGGTAGGCATGAGGAAAGCATCGTAGAGCGGGATGATATTGGGATGCGGAGGTATTGTGAGGAGCGACTTGAGCTCCTTGAGTTTCATACATTCCTGCCAGTTTGGGAAGGGCTTCTTCATCTTTTTGATGGCAACGAGACGCTTGCCTATGTACTCGGGACGTGTGGTTGGATGTTGCATGGGTGAGAGCATGGTGCCGCTTGGTAATGGACTCTTCCAGTCGGCCAAGCAGACTGTACCAAAAGATCCGTCGCCGACATCTTTGATCACGGTAAAGTCCCTGGGACCTTCGCGCATGAGAGAAGCAGCGGTGGTTGGCATCTCTTGATCTGGCGGACGGAGGGAGGATGGCGTGGATGATGGTTGTGCCGAGGGATTGGTGAGAGTGTAAGAGCCCGAAGCACCATCAGCAGCACCCCTAGGAAGGGAGGCCGAGGCCGAGGCGTGCATGAGGCCGTTAGGGCCGAGCCCGTTGTTGGCTCGACCGGGATGGCGATACTGTTGGTCGTGGTGCGGAGGCGCGAGAGGTAGCGTGGAGCTAAGAGCAACCTGGGCCATAGCTTAAGTGCTGGTTCTTCGCAAAGGCATGGTCGAGCACTGGAGGTATGTGCACGTTTGCGACTAGACAGTGCGGAACCTCAGGGTCTGCGGGTCGTTTAGATGGATTGTGCTCGGACTGTGTTGGGTCGAATGCGATGATGGTAGCAGATCTGCGGTGCCGACTGAGCGTACGGCGGTAGCAAAAGGAAGCAGTGAGTCTGCGGTTGCTGTCCTGCTTTTCTGGCCTCGAGTAGAGAAGTGCAATCGAAAGAGCCGTGAATAGAGTATCAGAAGAGCCGAAGCGGGAATGGTGGCTAGCGATGAATCGAAACTGATGTCGCAACGCCTATGGTATGATGGGCGTATCTTCGGGTGGGGCGTGGCGGAAGGAATGAAGCGCGGCTGTTATAATCGGAAGAATCTGGCGCTCGAAGCCGACAATGTGAAATGAAGTGTTGCAGCACTGTGTACAGCGGGGTCGAAGAGAGAGCAGCAAGGCGTTGCGGCAGCAAATATGGGCCGTGGCGATGGTGTATGAAAGACGGAGGCCGTGAGGAGGACCGAGGGCGAGTGTGAAGATCTTGGAGAGTAGCAAAGCTGTCGAACAAGCTGTGAGTGTGTCAATGAAGGTGGTCAATGACAGCAACTTGAGACCATGAACTGTTCGGTGTTGGGACACGAGCGCTGAAGTGACTGCAGCTTGGAAGAGGGCGAGTAAGAGCAATAGAGAGAGAGAGACAGAGTTCGCGGCTGCGAACAATCGACAGTAAGGCGACAGAGAAGAGGGAGAGAAGGTGATGAAGAAGGAAATTCAAAGATGGAAAGATGAAGGAGAATGTGGATGTCCAAATGTGTGTGTATGTGTATATGTGTGTGTGTGTGTGCGATTGAGGGTGTAAGTGTGATAATGTGTGTGTGTGTGGGTGTGCGTTGTGCGTTGTGCGTTGTTGCAATTGCGAAAAATGGCTGAGGTGTTGGCGTACCGTAAAGTTGATTGCAGGTCTCAGCGTGTGGTGTGTGGT